AGAGTAGGTACAGGTACATCAGGTCAATGAGCAACAGGTCTTATAGCAGATTGAAGGTTCAGATAAAAAAATTCGTTTTTATTTTGAGTGTTGTAGCCTTGCAAGTTACAGGAGCAAAAACAGCAGTCTCAATGGTTTCTAGGCTCACTCCAGCCCATTGGAATTCCAAAAGGCAAAGACTTTTTTCTTATTTTTAGTCCATTGTCTCAACTCTTTGACATTAACAGTGCAAACTTTGTGCAGAGCCCATGATTTGTCTTGGTCCCCAAGTTTTATTCCAAAATACACGTAATACGCTTTTTTTTGACAAATTCTGTAATGTTTTGCCTTTGTTTCTTTACAACAAATTTACCACAAATATTTAAACAACCTCTTGTTGCTATAGCAATTAATAAATAATACTGAAAAGAAAAAAATAATGTCAAAGTGCATGCACAAACAGATATTATCCAGAAATGACACGTCATGCAACCTGTTAACCGTTTATATACCAGCGGAATGTTTCTTGTGGGTTCTAAAATGATCGATAAGACTCTCATGTCGCGATTGGTCTAGAGAAATCTATAGCCAGTGGTTGTGAACATTTTAAGCATAACAAAATGTGACCCGATTTCAATGTAAATTATTCACTTATGTAAAAGTACATATGATGCTTTGTGAAAAATCTGTACATCATGAAAAAAATGGATATTTTCAGATTCACCATACAGGAATTACCATAGAACAAGTAAAAATTTCAAGACATTAAAAAACCATCACAGGCCTGTGTTATCAGAGTATGTCATTACACTTAGTTTAAAAGAATGTTATTTTAAAACTTTTTTTTAATCAGGAAACTGCAAGTTTGATCAATTTGAGATTTAATAAATGACTACAGTTTCACACAGACATTTTTACCTTAGTAATTAATACACTTTCCTTAAGAAATAAACTCTTAAAGTTGATTCAGTTAAATATATAAAACATCTGATTTGTGAAAGTAAAAATATATTGCTTTTTTTCCAGATTATAAAACTGTACTTGATGTTTTATTCAATTTATTTCCAAAACATTCTGGAAGTACTGATTATTAATGATTATTATACATTAAGAAACACAGAACCCTATAAATAATAATGAAAAAAGAAATTTATAGACAAGTTATCAGATAACATGGAGTAATATTTATTTAAGAGTACAATCATACCTGTGATATCTTGTTTGAGTTCAGGATGATTGATAAGAAAATGCATGGAATATTGAACACATCTCATTCTCACTTGTACACTGATATCATTGAACCTAACAAAAAACACGTGGAAAACATATGTCAAACTCATTACACATGTTAGCATAAACACTAAGTAATTCATTGCATCAATCTCGGATAGCAGTCACCACAGCTACACAGCATCTAAGGTTGTTTATTCCTGTATGAAGGTTACAACACTCAAATCTTCCTAACAGCTATAATAAAAAAATATGGCTAAAAATTTTATAGAAACAGAAATACAACAATCAAACACCTATATACTAACAAATTATACAATGTTAAAACCATTTTGTAAAAGTCTCTACTGACATTGAAACATTATAAGTACTGCAAATCTCCCAAAACTGCTGACCAAGGCAAGAATAAGTTGTCGTTAAGTCTAATGTTGAATATATGCTGTCATTAACTCTTGTTTCTTTATCTATCGTGTTTTTAGTTTTTCTTTACGTAACTTGAACATTTACTGCAACCAACACATAGAAAACCTAAACTTTTCACTACCAGTGATCATAAATTGTGGGCTGCAACTTGTTTTTGTTAATTATACATGCATAAAACTCCTCAGTCCTACAACAACACAGATCAAAACTTGCTTGGACTGGTCATAAACATGGCTGACCCATAAAATTTCCCTTCTGCGCTTTCCTCCAGTGTGATTATCTGGTTACAGGGAAACAATTTCTCACACATAAAATCTCTACAAAATTCTAACACATATCTAAAGACTGTTACAATTATACCTCCCAGTCTAAAATCTCTAAACATGGTTACAATGAAATAAATCTCTAAAGAAGATTATAATGAAATAAAGTCTCACAGAAAATCTCTACAAAATTCTCACACAATATCTAAAGACTGTTACAATTATATCTCCCAGTCTAAAATCTCTAAACATGGTTACAATGAAATAAATCTCTAAAGAAGATTATAATGAAATAAATCTCCCAGAAAATCTCTAAAAGGTAACAATGAAACAATCATCCACATAAAATCTCCAAATAACTTTACAATGAGACAACCTCAAACACATACACACAATCTCTAAATGAGGTCACAATAAAACAATTTCAAACACCAAATCTCTAAAGAAGGTTACAACAAAACAATCCACACAAAATCACTAATGAAGGTTACAATGAAACAATCTCACACACATAATTTCTAAACAAGGTTACAAAGAAACAACTTCACACACACCAAATCTCTAAACTAGGTTAAATAAAACAATGTGACACAAAATATCTAAAAAAAAGGTTAAAACAATGTCACACAAAATCTCTAAAGGATGTAATAAAACAGCCACACTCACACCAAATCTCTAAACAAGGTTACAATGAAACAATTTCAAACACCAAATATTTAAACAAGGTTACAACAAAACAATGTCACACAAAATCTCTAAAGGTTGTAATGAAACAGCCACACCCACACAAAATCTTTAAACAAGGTTACAATGAAACAATCTTATACACACAAAATCTCTAAACATGGTCTGAACCAATCTCTAATAACTCTAGCAAATGATTTTTGATCAGCATTTCCCATTTTTTCAATAAGAATTAACTGAAGGAAAGTGAACAAAAGATCTTCAAATATTGGAACTACACATATAGAAGTTGTTGTAAAGTGGTCCTGTAAAGGCAATTAGCCACTATATTCAAAATATATGGTTCACAATATATTCATGGTTAGAATATGGCTCAGAAAATCTTTTTAAGCAAAGCCTGCAATGACTTTTATTTTTTTATTGTGGCTAGTCAAATTTCGAGAAATGTAAAAATACCATAAGGTCCTTACAATAAAAATAGAAGTGACATCAACTTACAAACCATAAAAATCAGAATGTACATTCAGTAGCAGATAAAAATCCCCAATTTATAAGACAAAATACAATAATTCATTTTATGAAATACAATTGAATACAATTTAAAATATGTAAACTTATTTATATTTCATCACTGTATTTTGTAGTGGGGGAAAAGATAAATTTAGTGAAAAAAAAACTAATATTATAATTTGTGAAGAGATGTTTAACTATCATTTTAGGCCTAAAGGGAAAAAGTATATAAATGTTATATAACAAAATATTTTAAAACATTGAATTTACTTTGGCAGTATTTTCACAAAAGAAAATTGTTACAAACCCAACAACAGATAAAGTACAGCTACACAAGTGTAGATTTGTCACAAATATAACTTCTATGAGATAGTTATAAAATTTAATATCAATGCAATTGTTTCTGTGTGGGTTACCACTCAAAATGAAACTGATTTTTCCGAGCTGGACATAAATATGAATTTATTTTTCCACAAGCTAATCAAACATCTTAAGATAACCGATAATTTTTGAACTTTGTTACTGTTTACAATAATAAAATTTGAATACATAGTAATAATCTACATTTTTGACATGTAAATTATTGTTTTAACTCTTTAAAGCCTTAATATTTTGCAGTTTTGAAGAAATTATTTTCATGATCTCCTAATACTTATCACCATATCTCATAAAATTCCAATTTTCTTAATATTGTGGATAATAACATGATTTGGATTAGTTTTCAGCGAATGAGACAAATGTTATTGGATGCTGTCACCATCTGATGAGTAAATTGGGAATTTCAGCTAGACACTGGCAGCATCTGCTTGGTATTTAGGGAGTTAAAACACTCCTAATAAGGCAAGTAAAAAAAAAGGAACAGACTGTTTAACCCAATTATAACTAATCAAAGTATTAAAACGTAATGCAATAAAAAGTAAAGTATTAAGGGAAATTTGTCTACTAACAAACAAATGCATAAGTAGACATTTTTTACATCTTTCCTTACCTCCCTAAAAAACAGTTCCACAAGGGTTTGTTTGTTGCTGCCAAATCTGAATCTTTGTCAGAAAACATCCGGGCCAAAAGTTTCGTCACTTCTAATCTCTCTTTCTCCTCATTACTCTGTATAAGTACATTAAAATGAAACTGTATCATTGGTGAAACAGCATAAAGTATATAGAAATTACTAACTATATAATATTTTTCCATTCACATTTTATGTCTCACACTATTACATAGGTTAAACTTATTACGTGTCAAATAAAGAAACGCAAACCAATGTGTGTATTAATTACCAACACAGGCCTTGTAGACTTGCATTCAAATTATATTGAACTACTACTTTATGTCAATAAGTTTGGTATCAAATTGTACATTATAATTAAAATTTTAGTATTATTCATTAGTTAATTTCTCAATTCAAAAGT